TTACATCACAGGGCCAACCACTGGGCCTAAAATTGAGGAGACAGACAGGCAGATACAGATAATCCCACTTAATTGACAGAAATTTATTAGCAGTGGCAGGTTAGAAAAATCTAAACTGTTATTAAATTTATGGAGGCTCAAAGTGGATAATTCTGAGTTAAAAACCACAAGAGAACCCAAAGAGCTTACACCTTTTGAAAATTTTAGCTCCAGGATCTCTCTTTGTGAGGTTTTCATAGTAAAAATCAAAGAAAAATCCCTATTACTTCCAGCAGGGGGCAGAGAAAAGTAACCATTTTGGAGCTATGCAAAAGCATTTTGTCCTCAATAAGGCCTGCCCCAATAAAATAACTAAACAAAGAAATATAATCAATATGTTAGGAAAGGAAATAAAATAAAATCCCATTAAAAGCTTAATCAATAGAGAAAATCAATTAAATCAAAAGCTACATCTTTGAAAAGGTCAATAAAATCAATAAACCTGTAGACTTCTGACTCAAGAATGTTATATTAACTCTTCCCTGGTACTCAAGCCTACCGGCCTGCTCTGAAAATTTTGAACTTGACCTCCTCCACAATTACATGAGCTGATTCCGTAAAATCAATCTCAATCTCTCAATCTCTTTCCCTAATAAAAAGGCATAAATTAAAAGCATATGTGGCCTCTAGAAACATATTATCTAGAGCAGGGGTCCTCAAACTTTTTAAACAGGGGGCCAGTTCACTGTCCCTCAGACCGTTGGAGGGCCAGACTATAGTTTAAAAAAAAAACACTATGAACAAATTCCTATGCACACTGCACATATCTTATTTTGAAGTAAAAAACAAAACGGGAACAAATACAATATTTGTCTTTGCATGTGTCCTGTGGGCCGTAGTTTGAGGACCCCTGATCTAGAGACTCCATAAGGAACTGGAGTCAGCTGTGTTGCCACATTGAATACAGCCCAATGAATCTAATTTTGCACTTCTGGTCACCAGAATTGTAAATGAATACATTTGTATTGTTTTAAGTTTATGGTAATTTGCTAGAGTAGCCATAAGAAACTAATACAGGGCCTTATCTTTACTTAATTAGTAAAATATTTCTGTCCTAGTATGTTGTTTTAGATAACAATACCACACCTCTTTTTAAAGGACAAGTGTAACTGACTCAACCTGTGTCTCACTTTACGTTATTTCAGCCCTCCTTTTCACTCTAGTTTTTACTATGTCATTAAGTGTACAGATCCAATTCATGGCAGCTCACCTCAGCTACACAGAGTAGCTTCACTTCTCTCCTGAGCTTCTCTTCCACTCCCCGTAGGTCAATGTCCAGAAAATTGTCAGCCATTGAGGGAGTTAAACCCTATGTGTCTACTTTTAACTAGTGTGAATGGCTGCTAGTGGAAATTATTTTCTTCTTCTGAAACTCAAGGACAGTAAAGAAACACTTTCTACTTGGTTTCTCTGAGGTATCTAGCAAGATGAATCCCCAGTTTTCCACTGTAGTTAAGACCTGATCGTTTATTTTTGGATTGGCTTTCTTTCTTCCCTTTTAAACCCTTCCTACTCCCACTTCTATCCCTTGGGATCACTTTCAAAAATAAACTAGCTGCATAAAAGCCCATACTTCGTGCCAGCTTTATGGGGAAACTAGCCTACATTGGTTGGCAACAGAAATAACCTTGGAAATCATACCATGAGAATAAGATTCTAAAACTAGAACACTTACCAGTCAGAGAGCAATAAGGATGTGTTGCTGGCAGTAAGCAGAATGTGATAAGCCTTGCATGATATAGCATCAGAGTCACTAAGGATTTTAGCAATTACAGATTGAGATTAGGTCAATGCAGGTAGGAGGTAAAACTTTAGCTTCTGTGGTAGTTTTAAGGGTTAACATTTTTATTAGTAGGCAACGGTACGTATAAAGTTGGTGATTTGACTGTTTTTTATTTACAGCTCCAAAAGCTTGAAGAAATAAAGTGTTAGACTCGGGTAACTATTCTTTGAAAATAAGAAGGCCTCCATGACAACATTTTAAAAGAGCCTCCTCTCCTACAATTGCCAAGTAGAAGTCCAAGACTGACATATAAAGGTAGCTGCTAATTCTATACCTTGGTAGGTCTCTTATGCCAAAGACAAGGTGCTAATAGAAAAAAGAAAAGAGACTTGAGGTCTGCACTATTCGTTGGATTGTATAAGCTTGGAACCTTGAACTTCTAGATTCGCTTGACTTCTCAGACCCAGCACAGGCAGTTTGCTTTTGCTTGTAATAGAAAAGATGCCTCTCATTCCCTGAGGTTCCTGCAAAGCCGCCAGAGGCAGCTGCCTTGCAAGGTCACATTTGTTTTCACTAAAAAATGCCCCCGCCTCTCTTTTTTATCACCTCCACCATAACAAATACAGACAGGAAAATAAGGCCCCTTATCAGGAATAGGTAGACAGGACAGGCATGGGGAGAGGGACAAGGGAGGGAGGGAGAGAGAGAATGAATCATTAAGCGAAACAGATAAAATGCTAACAATAGATGAATATACATGAATGTATATGGGTTTTCAATTTGCGATTGCTATTTTTCGGTAAGTCTAAAATTACTTCCAAATAAAAGAATTTAAAGTAGACATTTTCCAAAATGCACTTTAAAGAAATGAGGAAAAACAAGGCTCTTCCTCAAGAGATCCCTAAATGTTACATCCCTAAGGAGAGCAAGAGTTCAACAAGTATTCTTTGATTTTAGAATTTTAAGGGAGTTTAAAATCTTTTTAAGTTTATACTCAACATCCCAAACACATTTCAGGAATAAGTCTTAGATGATTAGGTGGATGGGTAGCTTTTATATCCAATAAAACATTTTCCTTAGACATGCCAGAGCAAGAGGTTGTGAAATTGCTGTGAGCTGGTTCAAAAGTAATCCAAGTCCTTGCTTGCATTCCAAACAAGCAACATCAAAAAGGAAGCCCAAGGAGCAGGTTGTTCTTTAAGTCATTGACTCCTTTGACCCTCAGAAATAGCTGAATCTTAATGGACAAAATAGTATTCATGAAATTGAATTTTCTAAAACCTTAGAAAGTAAGAAGCTTTGAAAATCTCCGTAACGAATCACCCTTCTAACTTTAGCTAAACATTGATAGGAAAGATGTATACTCGTGATATCTGACAGGAAAAGAAAATTTAAAAATATGACTGAGATTATTTGTTTTGTTGTTCCAACTGATGAAATATTTCACCCACTTTTATAATTTACTGTTCAAATACAAATGGTGCCCTGGCAAGTATTATTCAGTGATTACAGAATCAGCCCACACACCAAAGTTTTTTGGGTTTGAGCCCTGACCCCAGTCAGGACTGTATGGGAGGAAACAAATCAATGTGTCTCTCACATCAATGTTTCCCTCCCCTCCCCTCCCCTCCCCTCCCCTCCCCTCCCCTCCCTCCCCTCCCCTCCCCTCCCCTCCCCTCCCCTCCCCTCCCCTCCCCTCCCCTCCCCTCTCCTCTCCTCTCCTCTCCTCTCCTCTCCTCTCCTCTCTTTTCCTTCCCCACCCTGCCTTCCACTCTTTCTAAAAATCAATGGAAAAAATATCCTTGGGTGAGGATTAACAAATTACAAATGGTAAAATTCTTCAACTACTGCCATCATATTGGAACCATTTAGGATGTATTGATCTTTACTTCTCTAATCTGACCTTAAAATCTTTAACAGCTCTTTCTTCTTTCTCTCACATTACCGAAGCAACATTTGGATTGAACCCACACAGAAAATGGCACCAGAGAATGCATGCAGAGTAAGGGGACAGAAATAGTTTTCAGTACTTATTCTCAACACAAAATCATTGATTATGAAAACAATACACGCATGACAGTAACTTTGGAGGAGTCCAAAAGTTCAGTGGAGAGGGCCAAGCACCCTGTTAGAGGAAGAAAAATACAAGAATGGATACATCGGGGAAGATAAGAAAGTTTCATATTACCTGTGACATTCTGTCTTCAAAGCATCTCAGTGCCAAGAGAAACCTTTTGGGCCCCTGATTTTTCCATGGGGTAAAGTGAGATCATGGTGAGTGCCCAGCTTCCCCAGCCATTTGGGACACTGCCACTTCTTTATTGCCCCACCCAGGACACTTAGGGGATAATCATAGCTGAAGAAACTAGGGGTAGGTAGGACTACAGAAAAAGTGGTGGGGATTCACAACAGCCACAGAAAACTCAACAAAGGACATAGTTTCTACTTACTGATGACTTCTCAGCAGATGCCTTGCAGGCCAGGAGAGAGTGGATGACATATTCAACATGCTGGGGTTGCAAATGAAGAAAACTATACCCAGAAAAAGTATCCTTTAAAATGAAGAAGAAATAAAGGCTTTCGCAGACAAATAAAAGATGAGGGATTTTATCACCACTAGATTTATCTTGAAAATAAGGCCAAAGGGTGCCCTTCAAGTTGAAATAGAAGGATGCTAATTAGTAATGGAAAACATGGAAGTGTAGAACTCCCTGGTCAAAGTAAGTATATAGTAAAATTCAGAATACTCTAACACTATAATATTGGTGCACAAAATACTTTTAACTCTAGCATACAAGTTACAAGGCAAAAGTACTAAAAATAATGAAAGCTATAATATTTTGCTGCATACACAATTCTAACAGATGTAAATTTTGACATCAACAACACAAAATGTTGGAGGGGAGTAAAAGTATAGAATTTTGTGATTAAAGTTGTTATGAGCTTAAAATGGACAGTTATAAATAGAAGATGTTTTATGTAAGCTAATAATAACCACACAAATGTGTAATATATATATAATATGCAAAAGATAAGAGAAAGGAATCAAAGCATACCACTAAATAAGTCATAAAATCACAAAATCACAAATCAGGACAGCAAGACAGGAAGAAAAGAACAAATGAACTATAAAACACTCACAAAACAATTAACAAAATATGAATAATAAGTCTTTATCTATAAATAATTAAATATAATTAGATTAAATTCTCCAACTAAAAGACATAGAATGGGTGAATTTTTTTTTTTTTACCATGAAACAAAACTTTTATTAACATTTTGAACAGATTCAGTTATTACTGAACTGGTAATTTCTAAACTTAAATTGGGGCAAATGGCTAGAATGCAGAGCAGTGCCATCACTGGCACTATGAATGCAAAACTGAAGAATTAACAGCCACCCCTCAGACGCAGGACCAGGTACAGGGTGGACTCTTTCTGGATGTTGTAGTCAGAAAGAGTGCAGCCATCTTCCAGCTGCTTGCCTGCAAAGATGAGCCTCTGCTGGTCAGGAGGGATGCCTTCCTTATCCTGGATCTTGGCCTTCACATTCTCAATGGTATCACTGGGCTCCACCTCCAGGGTGATGGTCTTTCCGGTCAGGGTCTTCACGAAGATCTGCATACCACCCCTCAGACGCAGGACCAGGTGCAGGGTGGACTCTTTCTGGATGTTGTAGTCAGAAAGAATGCAGCCCTCTTCCAGCTGCTTGCCTGCAAAGATGAGCCTCTGCTGGTCAGGAGGGATGCCTTCCTTATCCTGGATCTTGGCTTTAACATTCTCAATGGTGTCACTGGGCTCCACCTCTAGGGTGATGGTCTTGCCAGTCAGGGTCTTTACGAAGATTTGCATTTTGACCTGTTAGCGAGTGCGAAAATACCGCAAGTCCAAACCCGTCAAGTCCCCTCAACAACGACACAGCCCCTACAACGTCTTAAAAGATCCAACAATATGTTGTCTACAATAGACTACATTTGGGCTTAAGAACACATATAGGCTGAAAGTAAAGGGATGAAAAAAGATATTCCATGCACATGGTAAACAAAAGAGAGTAGAGGCAACTATACTCATATTATTTAAAATAGATTGAAGCACTGTGACAAGAGACAAAGATAGTCATTATCCATATATATATATATATACTGGAGGCCCGGTGCACAAAAATTTGTGCACTCGAGGGGGGGTGTCCCTCAACCTGGCCTGTGCCCTCTCGCAATCTGGGACCCCTCAGGGGATGACCACCTGCTGGCTTAGGCCTGCTCCCAGGGGGATTGGGCCTAAGCTGGCAATCAGACATCCCTCTGGCAGCCCAGCAGCCCTTGGGGGATGTCCACTTGCCAGCGGGGACCAGGCCTAAGCTGCAGTCGGACAACCTTAGCACTGCTGAGAAGGCAGGAGAGGTACCCACCACCACCGCTGTACTGGCAGCCATCAGCCTGGCTTGTGGCTGAGCAGAGCTCCTCCATGTGGGAGCGCACTGACCACCAGGGGGCAGCTCCTGCATTGAGCATCTGCCCCCTGGTGGTCAGTGTGTGTCATAGTGACCAGTCATTCCCAATCTTTCTGCTGTTAGGGTCAGTTTTCATATTACCCTTTCATTATATAGGATAGAGGCCTGGTGCATGGGCGGGGGCTGTCTGGTTTGCCCTGAAGGGTGTCCCGGATCAGAGTGGGTGTCCCGCTTGGGTGCCTGGCCAGCCTGGGTGAGGGGCTGAGGGCCGTTTTCAGGCTGGCCACACCCCCTTTAGGGTGGGGGTCCCCACTGGGATGCCTGGCCAGTCTGGGTGAGGGGCTGAGGGCCGTTTTCAGGCTGGCTGGTGACTGAAGCTCCCAGCCTCTCCTTTTTTTCTTTTTCTTTTTTATATTCTGGGGTTGGTTTAGCTTCTATAATTGCAACTTTGTTGCCGTCACTGGAGCTAAGAGCCGGCTCCAGCTCTGTGGCCACGGCCTGCTAAAAGCAGGTATCTGGGGTTTGTTTAGCTTCTATAATTGAAACTTTGTTGCTTTCGGAGCTCAGAGCCAGGCCTCGCCAGGCGGGGAACCTTGGCTTCCTCCATCACTGGAGCAAGCAAGCCTCCTGCTCGCTTCAGCTGCGTGGCTGCTGGCCGCCATCTTGGTTGGGTTAATTTGCATATCATGCTGATTAGCCAATGGGAGGCATAGCGAAGGTATGGTCAATTACTATGTTTGTCTATTATTAGATAGGAGATATATATATATATATATATATATATATATATATATATATATAGCCTGGGGCCTTCACATCCAAAAAAACTGAACAGATTACCGAACAAGCTGAGTGGGCTGACCAGGCCGGCAGGGGGGTTAGTGAGGGATGACCAAACAACTGAACACCAGACTGCGTGTGGTGACCAGGTCAGCAGGAGAGTTAGTAAGGGATGACCAGGCTGGAGAGGGGGGGCAGTTAGGGGCTACCAGGCTGGCAGAGGGGGGCTGTTGGGGGCGACCAGGCCAGCAGGAGGGGAAGTCAGGGGAGACCATCCTGGACAGGGGGGGCGCATTTGGAGGCAACCAGGTTGGCAGGGGGGCAGTTTGGGGCAACCAGGCTGGCAGGGGGTGGCAGTTAGGAATGATCAGGTTGGTAGGCAGAAGTTGTTAGTGGTGATCAGGCTGGCAGGAGGTCCAGTTAAGAACAATCAGGCAGGCAGGCAGGTAGCAGTTAGGAGCCAGCAGTCCTGGATTGTGAGAGAGATGTCCGACTTCCGGTTTAGACCCAATTCCCAGGACATCCCCCGAGGGGTCCTGGATTGGAGAGGGTGCAGGCTGGGCTGAGGGGACAACACCCCCCCCCCCCGCATGAATTTCATGCACCAGGTATCTAGTATAATGATACAGCGATTGACTCAACAAAAAGATATAATAATTGTAAATATATGTGCACTCAACATTGAAGCTAAATATATTAACAGATGTAAAAGAAAAAATAGACTGCAAGACAATAATGGTAAGGGACTTAACTACCACAATTTTAATGAATGTTAGATCATTCATTGGAAATATCAATGAGCTAACAGCAGACTTAAATAACACTATAAACCATATGCACCCAACAGACATATACAGAACATTCCATCCAACAAAAGCACAATACACATTATTCTGAAGTGTGCATGGATTTATCCTGGATTGATCAAGATTGATCATATGTTAGACCACAAGATAAGGCTTGCTAAATTGAAGAAAATTGAAATAATACCAAGTATTTTGTAGGACCATAATAGATGAAACTACAAATCAATAATCAGAAGAAAATTGAAACATTTTTTAAATGTGAAAATTATACTATACACTCCTGTACAATCAATGAATCAAGGAAGTCTTTGAGACAAATGAAAATGAAACAGAACACACAAAAAAACTTATAGGATGTAACAAAAGCAGTTTGAAGAGAGATTTTATAGTGATAAAGGCCTACATAAAACAAATTTAAAAATCACAAATAAACAACCTAACTCTATACCTTATGGAACTAGAGAGAAAATAACAAACTAAGCCCAAAGTTAGTAGAAAGAAAGAAATAATAAAGATTAGATTAGAAAAAAATATTAGGAAAAAATAGAAAATAACAAAATTGAGTTGTTTTTCAAAAATGTAAACAAAATTGACAACACCCAGGAAAAAAGAGAAAAATCAAAGAAACAAAATTACAAGTGAAAGAATAGACATTACACTACTACAGAAATTCAAAGAATTATATTAAACAGCTATAAAAATTATACAACAAATTGAATCACCTAGAAGAAATGTACAAATTCCTAGAAACATAGAATCTGCTAAGACTGTTCAGATTTTTAGAAGAAACGGAAAATCTGAACAGTCCAATAATGAATAAGAGAGTAAATCAGTAATCAAAAACCTTTCCACAAAGAAAATCCCTGGACCAGACTGCTCCACTTGTGAATTCTATGAAACATTTGAAAAAGAATTATTTTTTTTTTCTCAAATTTTCCCAAAAATTGAAGAGGAAGGAACACTTTAGAATTGAAAACTCATGTTCTGAGAAATATCTGTGGGACATTTTGAGGCCTAGGTTGATGTCATATTCTTCCAAAGAGAATTCGTATTTGCTTCTGCCTGGTGACCAGGGTTATTTTCAGCCTGGAATTTTTTTTAAAATATATTTTATTGATTTTTTACAGAGAAGAAGGGAGAGGGATAGAGAGTTAGAAACATCGACGAGAGAGAAACATCGATTAGCTGCCTCCTGCACGCCCCCCACTGGAGATGTGCCCGCAACCAAGGTACATGCTCTTGACCGGAATCGAACCTGGGACCCTTGAGTCCACATGGAATTTTTTTTAAATAAAATTCTGAGCTTATGTTTTGTTGGACCAAACAGAGTTATAACTCAGTAACATAACCATACGAGAGCCAATTTATGTTTGTAACTTTCCAGATTATTTTTCTTTTCTTAACACTCAAAGTATAAAAAAGGTACATTTTCTTTCTATTGCTTTCTGAACATTAACTTTTTTCCTTACTTATTCTGTCATTAAAGCTGTGATTATTTTTAATCTCAGCCTATGGTGGTGTTTACTATTTGAGTTTCTACTTCAACAGGCCCTGGACTTTATCTCATGTGTCCATCATTCCACACAGTCTTCAAAATGGCAGTCCAAATGTCTTTGGATAAAAGTCCCCTCTTGAGATTTCTAATCTCCCATGATTCCTGCCTTAACTTTGGTTTGGGCCTTTGATTATGTCTCATGATATTATAAACTTGTCAAAAATTCACATTTCAAAAATCATAATTTATTTGCTTTTATTAGAAGGATTATTAATTATATAGTATTTACGCATAAATAAAATAATATATTATTCTAACCCCAGATGAATTTAAAGCTAACCTATATATTGATAAGATTTATTTATTTATTTATTTATTTATTTATTTATTTATTTATTTATAACATTATACCACATACCGTTCTAGGCACTGGCAATACAGAGTAAATACAAACAATTCCCAAACTTTATGACTAAATAAATAATAAATAAATAGGTCTGGGGGTTTCCCTTTATAAATTATTTTTATCTATATCTTAAACCATCATGAACTTTGCTTGGACCCTGACAGGAAAAGTAAAGAAAATAAAATAAAATGGTGAAGGAATTGAATTGTAGTAGTTTTCTTAAAATAAATAAATAAATAAATAAATAATAAACAAACTTTGAGTAAAAAAGTTAGCAATACAAGCAAAAATGTTAATAAACTATTATTCATCTGAATAATAACTTCAGCTTAAAAAAATCCTATCTCCTCACTTTACCAATATGAAAAAAGAGCAAAAAGATGACATCAGTAAAGAAAACATGTGTTTTACATGAGATAAATAGCAGTACATTTATTGTTTGGCCACTGAACTATGTTACTTCTCCTAATGTTCGTAGTTGGTAGGGACCCTGATTGATAAGAACAGTCATGGTATATCTTGAGATGTTAGGTTTGTTTTTTGTTTTTGTTTTCAGCTGATGCACGTGATGTGTCAAGATACATTCCCTCTGCCCATGTGATTTTACTGTGACTATGATGGATCATCCCCTGCATTTCTGTGTTCCCCATCAAGAAGGTGCCTCAAAGACCCCCACTATGCTTTCCGCAAAGCCAAGGAAATTGCTCTGTCATGTTCAGACACAGCCTCTTGGTACAGGGGAGTTCGTACTATTGAAGGAAACCCTCAATCAACAGAGCATAGAAGTGGGTTAATTAATGCTCCCAGGATTTTCATTCATTCTAGGGGCAATTCTGAGGCACAGCCAGGTTATTTTCTTACATAGGCTCAGAAGAATTATGCCCTGATTCCCATATTGATAATGGGTTTTTATCCCTTCTCTGTCTCACTTTTCCCACTTCATCACTTCTGATTCCTGGGATTTCAGATGCTTACTTTATGGTTTGCTTTGGA